TGAAAACCCTAACCAGGGGACCGGGTCACATAGGTCCTGTTAGGCTCCCTGGCTGGGGACCTCGGGATGATCGTAACCGATGGTTAGAGACACAGTGATATGGTTGGATGTCGAACCAGTGGCGTTCGTGCATCTTCTCAATTTCTTTGCAACGTTAGACCACTGAATTTTTCCATTTTCTTTTCGACTCCACTTTCAACTGTCTTTTCTTCTCCTATTCTCCGTTCCAATGGGCAGCCAAAAGACAGCAACCAAAACCGGTGCACGAGTGTGCGTGGTTAATGGTTGTCTAAACTGAAAACTAGGGGCGAGACTATCAACTTCGTAGGGCACCCAAATCATAAATGTATATGGACACACCAAATGACCTGCAAGCTNCTGCAAGCTGACTGCATCCGCACAGATTTCTTCAAGATCGATTGCAATAAATCGTCTGATGACCAGAAGCTAACGAATTGCCAATTATTGAAGATTTTATTGGTTTCATACTCTAACTCACCGTCCGAATTGGATCGACTTTGTCCATTTGAGTTTTTTTTATGACATTTAGTTTGAATTCTGCAAACGCAAAACTAACTTCACCTCACATGAACGGTTTCTCAGTTTTTAAATTTTTTTTATAACACACTTTCCTTGATGAACAGCAGACGGAGCGAACCCCATCATTACGAGGACCGGTTGTTCATTGGTGGAAACCGGCAACCTCGGCCCCGGAACTTGGAGTGGCGAGTCACATAAGGCCCCGATAGGTTAGGCGTGTCATTGAACCGGACGACAGCCTCCCACCACCAAGGTCGGCTGGCGGTGGCGGAGCTTGAACCTCGGACCACAGGGTCCAAAACACGCCGGTGACAGCAACTAAACCACTGCGCCACCACCACTGCGCTATGGTGTTTCTTGACATTTCTGACCCATATTTCAAGGAGTTCAGTATACTATGAATAACTTCTCTATTGTCGCTTATTAATTCAACGGATTTTATAGTTTTTCTTTTTTATTCTCATTTCTGTGTTTCAGATTGATCATTCCAAAATTTTGAATTCCGAGTTACCCTAACCGGAGCAAGTCAGTTCATCCGCGAATCTCTTGATACGGATAAATCACATTGATCCTTCAAAACCTGAATACAACTCAACCGCTCACCTTTCATCATTTCCATGGCTAGCCATGTTTACGGTTAACGATCAAAACCAGTCTTCCGTTTTTCTGAGACCATTTCCCGGGCATTAACCAACGTGAAGCACATCCGAAAAATCGATGACAGATCCGGTTCCAAAGGCTTTGGACTTCAATGTTCTCCTCGGAGAGATAGAGTCTGGTAGCAGTGGATCTATAGCTAATGTGATACGGAAACTACGTGAACATGAGGTGGCTGCCTACAACGCGGGTGTCGGTGGTCCAACCGGAGAGCTCGTAGCTACATTCATCTCAGCGCTGGATGCGCGCGCAAATGAACGTAATGTGGAAATCGAGAAAACATGTGCGTATCACTATCAAAGTTTTGTTGAAGCAACACGCGAACTTCTGCGTATACAAAATGATGCGAACATTATGCAAAACAATATCAGTGCACTGAATAGTAAAATGGAGTCTGCCGCGGAACAGGTAAGTACTGTGCCCTTGAGAAGTTCTCTTTGAATTCGCTACCAAACATCCTTTTGCTGCTTCTCGGTATTTCTGGTTGTTCATACCGTCGTCGTCGTCATCATCATCATTATTATTGTACAACAAAATACAGTAAACCGAAGTTCAATATTTGCTGTCACGTTGACTGTACACGAACGTGTTTGGTGGATGCAGTGTGAAGCTATTTCGAGCGAAGGGAAAGGAAGTTGATCCCATCTGATCAATACAGAGTACACACAATAACTGCGCACATATAGCTCTTCAAAAAATTTGACCTAAAAAATAATAATAATGATGTTGCCACTGCGGTCGGTTCAATGCCATGTCCTTCAGTGTCTCTAAACAACCCGTTACTGAGTATTTTGGGCCTCGGTGTGTAAGGTGAGACACACTCACTCCACCTAATCACTCTATGAACTTATTAGAGCATCTTTTCCACAACATGTGATTTTCTCCAGCTCAGAGCGACAGCTGCTAATGAGATGTGTTGCGGTAGACGACCGTTGGACGTACGCAACCAGTGAATCTCGCTAATCTGGATCTGGTGTGCTAGCATATTTTTCCTCAATAAATCCCCAAAGAAACGATGACTGATCTCTACATTATTAACTCACTCACTCCATCCCAACTGCGTCAAACCGTGTAAGCGTTCATTGTTGGAAACCTCTAGTACATGAATGACTTCCACGCACAAATCAAAGGTCTCACGTTCATAAAGCAGAACTGATTGAACGGTGACAATTATCGCCGCATTTCAACCTCAGTGAAATGTCACGTTGTGGCCAAAGGTCTTTCAGTCCTGTGTATCATACTCGAGCCTTGGGACTGCGTGCGGTCATCTCCTTTACTGCGCTACCGTCACTGGTCACGCAACAGTCTAAGTCGGAGAAGCAATCAACTTTAGTCAATTCTTGGCCATCTAGTTTCAGAACAAGTAGACACCCTTCTGCCCTTAACCTCACGTCCATTGGATTAAGTCGACCCGGCTTTGAATTACTGAGAAAACATCTCAAACAAAGTTTACATCAACTGATAGAGAACGAAATGAACAGTTTGTATACTTCATTGCTTATTGTCCACCACCTTTTATTTAAGTTACATTTTTCTTTGAATCTGATAGAATCGCAAACTGTGGTATTCATTGTTGTGTTTTGAGGCTCGTGCAGTGCGGCTGTCTGTGTTCGATCGGTCCTTGAGCTTGGTAGTTCGGTTGCAAAGTCGATATGCACGTTTCACTGAGATCATCGGAACAGTCTTTTATAAGACGGTTATTGAATTCAAATATATTTTCACAACTGGTTTAAGAATGCCACTCCGGTTATTGATCGTAAACTTTTAAGTCTAATTTGATAAACTGATTCAGGTAGTTGGTATCATTGGCAACAAAACATTTTCACCGAAATGTTTCAAATGACTTATCATCATTTGTTTTAGTTTGTCAATGTTGCGGTTTTCGCAGTGGTTTAGTCGCTGTCACCGGTGTGCTTTGGACCCTGTGGTCCGAGGTTCAAGCCCCGCCACCGCCAACCGACCTTATTTGTGTAAAAAATGTGTAGAACTGAAAACCAACACTGTACCACCGGATCTTTTTGCCCCATGTAACAGACACAAACTTTTTGGTGTTTTCGACACGGTCTTTAGTCAAAATTCTGCGAAAACCTATACCTCTTGATTCTCCTACCTTACTGTCATGTGTGTTTTGTTTGCGCTGATATTCGACTATGTCTCATCTAACCCACTGCTATTTCAGTTCAATAAATCCTGTACGGAATTGGCTAACTGCAAACTCACAGTGGAACATATTGACCAATGCATTCAAGCGTTGCAACGCACACTTCCCATTCTGGATCACTACTCACGTGTGGAACAGAGTATCCGTGAAGGTCGATTCTATCACGCTTTGCGCACTCTGGAGGATCTGGAACACCAGCACTTGGATGATATCAGACCGTTTGCTTTTTCCGAGATCATGATACATCGCATTCCGAAAATGCGGGCTGAAATCAAAGTGAGTGCCTGTTTTTCTCGCGTATCTATTCCCCTCTACGAATGCTCCTGGTATGAACACCCTGGGTCAGATTCCGGTGACATGAGTGGAACCTTTGAGAGAAATGAGTCCATGACAGTAAGGAATCTGCAAATAATATTAGTGCTCCATATCGATCGATATTAAACTGTCACTGAACTGTGGATCACCAATGGTTGGTCATTGGTGGCCCATAATTGCGTTTTTTCCTTAGTGACTTATTCGTTATTGCTGACTGCGGCACTCTGGTGTTAGGTGTCTCTGGTGTTCGAATGCTGCTTCTTTGATTTTGTGATAGTTTGCTGGCCACTTTCAAAGTCCAACTTTTCTCGTGTTATCGTTCACCATACTGTGATGTCTCACGTAAGGTTATTTTGATGCAATGTAACGGTACATATGTCTGCAAGACCGTGGGAAGCATTTCAATTAATCTCACCTGTATTTAGATGAACTAAACTAGTGGTTTTATCTGTACCCCTATTTTTAATCTTTGTCTAACACTATTGGAATCTTTGCCCCGTGCGTTCTCGTGGCAGAATTCCAGTCTTGCTGAGCTAACTGATTTCCTCGAACGCATCCGTAAACATTCCGTTCGACTGGGTGCAGTTGCAATGCATGAAACGGCACAGGCTACCGGGATGGAAAGTGAAGAGCTTGTTGGTTCGGTGGCTGCCAAATTGAATGGTCTCTCTCCTGGCTCCGAGTCTTCCACAATAAGCGCTAGCCCCAAATCCCAGAGTGTGGACAAATCCAAGTTTTCGGAGGCAAACGGTAAGTAACCAAATGCCACTTAGTTGATTCAAATCCAGTTATTTGATCATAAAACTGACCCGACTCTGTGACGTTATTCGTTGATCCGCTCGTTCCATTTCTTCTTCTACCAGTCCTGCGATTTAGGTATACATTTTTCATGTTTCTCAGTTCATACTTAGGTAATTAATACTTCAGCTACTCTGAAAATCAATAACGCGATCAGTTTTCGTGCATGTAGATACTTATAATGAAGAAAAAGAATTTAAAAGTACATTGTGTATAATTCGTCTAACCGTGATGTCTGATATTCCGTTCAGAACTGCTGTTCGCATTCGGTTATCATCATAACCGTTAATATTGCGTCAACTATAAAATTAAGCCTTACCAATTGTATCAAATCTTTTTTATGCGTGTTATTCATTTTGCTATTTATTTTATCTGACCCCACTTTATCATGGTTTTTTTCTACTTTCACTTACATAGCCTAATCTTACTGGTTACTTTGACATTATTCATCACTTGCAAGTTCGTTGTGTCCATAAAACAGTAATGTAAAAGTGGTTAGAGTGGGTAGGAAGTTGCTGACTTGTACACATTGTCGTCCACCATCAGATGTTTCAATCCGCTCCATATTGATCTCTTGTAGAGCTGTTTTCGCTTGATTCACTTCCAGACCTGTCGCATCGTATATCCCAACTAGTCACCAGTGTTCAGTAGGCCTTTTTGTGTAACTGGTTTTCCTGACCATTCTGTTTTCCCTTATTACTTTTCATCAACCTTGAGTATAAACCACAGAGTGTATGGTGTATGTAAGTGGAAAGCAGGAGGATGTAACCTCACGCAGATGATGATTATTTAATCATTCACCTCTAGGCTAGATCGTGGAAAATCCATTTGAATTAACGAAATGAATAAACCGGATTTGGAATCGGTAGATGATCCTCAGTGCCCATGTGTTTCGGACCAGTTTTACTGGAGCGTGTTTATACATGTTCGCGTGGTCAACTGCTCACTGCGGGATTGATTGATCCGTCTCAAACTCGGAATAGTGGTAATGTGCAGTGATCGTGAGATCGAAACATTCCGGAAGTTATGCTTGATTAAATAAAAACAATGTGAACGGACAATGGCGCTTTGATTCACTCACCTCCATCATTACATCGTATTTTCAATTAGTATTCCTTTTTGAAGCCTGAAATAGTGTGAAACTCTTAACAAACTAAAGCAATTGGATAATGGAGTGTAAGTATGTGGTAATTTTCTAGCCTGTCACAGTCTTTTCGTTTCGATCCAGGATGAACTTGGTTACGTGATTTTTTTGGTCAGCATATGAAAATTGAAAAGCTGTAATAAAACGTTGAATAATAACCGTAGATCTGTGTTGTTTTACAGATTTGAATGAAAGTGATTCTGCGACCAGCTGACTTGGGGTGCGAGCATTTCCTCCGTGTTTAAAAAAAATACACACTGATGTAGTGAACGCCAGCCGGAACTAAGCCCATAGCTTGGCAAAAAACAACCTACCTCCTAGAACTTTGAGTGATGAATTACATAAAGCCCTATTTGGATGACCTTGATATCAATCCGGATAACGTTGAAAGTGCCTGCCACCAAAACTCGGTGGTGGTGACAAGGTTTAATGTTGAAATATTTGAGCCCGGAGTAGGCCAGTGATAGTAGGTCAGACTGCTCAATGACTATCTCTACATTGGTATACCTGGTTCATCCTTTCCGGAATGTGTCTATCCGGAGTGTTGTGGTTTTCTATATTGGCAGAGCATCTGGCTCAGAAACCTACTATTCCTACAGAACAGTTTTTCAACAGTCACCGAATTCTCACCTCTTGCTTTACGAATTTGGTTGTAACCACCGTAGCTCGGTAACCTCTTGGCTGTTAGGCTAGACGGAATGAAGCTACCGGGGATCTTCGGAACCCACTAAGTTACAGCTTTAACAGTGTGTAGGAGACAGTTTCGGTGGATTGAGGAGACGAGTTTGTATTCTTGATCCAACGACTAGATAGACTATCTGAATGAAAGCACATCGTTGCGAAAATCTCAACTGCCTTGTAGCTCATAATTCGTTGAAAACGCCAGTCGAACGGAATTCCCATAAAACGTCATGAAGTCGATTCATCTTGTCACAGGAAATACTACCACCGCCTGAAATTCCCCATTGTTTTTTGTATGTCAACCCTGCAGTTGGCCGTTTCCCCTCCCTGAAAATCGTGCATTCAATAAAAGGAGATAAAATGAACAAGAAGAACAAGAAAAGAAAAATGATGAATTAAAAGAAGCAAACCAAATCTAACTCACTCCATTGTGATGTTCCTTTTTTTATCTATCTTACAATATCGACCTCCTCTCTCCCAGTCTGTCTCGTTTCGATCGCTGATCGACGTTTTCTTGTCTATTGCACACCTATCATACCCCGTCTTATTCGAATTGACTCAGGTCACTCTTCTACCAAATTGGCCGAACTTGATACCGAACTGGATGAATTGATTTCCNTTTCCGTGGCCGCGGGACAGGGAGATCGTGAACCGCGTCCCGCGAACAAGTTGCCCCCAGGTGAACAGAATCAAGCCCGGCTACGAACGGAGGATCTGGTGGATTTCGGTCCCGTCTATCGATGCTTGCATATACATTCTGTCCTAAACGAAAGGGCCGAATTCGAGCGACACTACTGCGCGCAACGTCGCAAACAGTGTCAGCTCAGTTTGAGTTTAACTCCAAATCAACAGGTGAGTCCGGGCCAACGGGATCTGATTTTTCGTCAGACCAATCAAATTTAGTTCTTATTTACAACATTGATTCCTTTGGTATCATATATAGAATCACTTTTAGAGAGGATTAGCAAAGGACCAAATTTACAATGGGATGATCTCCAATTTTATCCTCCTCCCTTATACTTACCTCGTTCCATCATCTCCTCATGCTGGTTTTCACTCCGAACCACGGAATCATACTGATTTGAACCAGTTTTGTGACGCATCGCAAGCAAGGTTGTTTGTCACTGTTTTCCTACACACGTTGTTTACAAAGATTTGTTTCGAATTCGTTCAAGTACATCAAAAATAATGGGGGTAAGTGAATTGCCTATTCTCCAACCAAGAATGAGGTTCTTTTCTTTTCAGTTCGACTCTATCGGTCGGGCTTTTGAGTTGACGTAGAACGCTTTCTATCTGCTTTTTTGAATCATTCATCCATACCAAATATCCAGCCTCGTATTCCTTTAACTATCAGCAATGCATGTGAGTTGTCCTCCACACTTGCACGTGCGTGTCACGTGAATCGTTTTGAAATTGTTTACCTAGAAGAAGAAGAAAAAAACACGAGTTTTGGTGGAAAGATTATTTTACGTTGCAGGTATTTCCACAGGCTCATGGATTGCCGTTGTNCGTTGTAGTGAAATAGTGGTTGATTGTATTTTTAGTTATTTGAGTATTATCACCGCTGTTATTCATCCACTTGAGTTGAGCGCTGCTTGTGCTAGTTTCTTCTGTCACAAATTTTTTGTGCTCAGTTGTGAGAACGGGAACCAAAACTTTTGAGGTTTATAATGGTAAATCACCCCTGGTTTTGATTGGATAGGCGTTGTATTGAATTGGACGACAAAGCTGCATACCAGAAAAAACGTCAGTGGCGCAGTTCTAACGTGGAACTCTGAATCCCACTTAAACGTCAGTGACAGTTGCTTAAACCACCACCACCATCAGCACCACTTGAGGTGTGTAAACCTTTGCACAAATCGCTAAACTGATATGTTCCTATAGGCTTGTGAGCCATTGATTCCAACCATGTGCCATGCTTATTTCACACTTGTCCTTGGTATCGTGTCCTTCGTGTTAGCTGTTATTCGTTCGTTCTTGCATTTGGTAATTTGTTGTGTCCGGAAAGTTCCTCACATAAACCTATCAGTATGTGAATTGGGCTTTCCTTTTTTTCAATAGACTTGACCCTTCTCTCTCGACTACCACGCGTATCTACATAACCTAGTCTCGGCTGTTTGTGTGAGTGTAGACGATATTGAATGCTTCTGGCAGTAGACGCTAAGTGATGTGTGTACTCATAGTCTGGTTCGGCAATGGAGTTCTAATTTTTCGAATTCCTTATGCCACTATGATTAAACTTATTAAAAAAACGGATAAAGCAATAGAACCACAAGAGATTTTTTCGAAGAATGTTGTGTAAATGCTAACATAGGGCAGCAGATGGCTATTTGGTTCTCGTTGATGCTCATTAGCGGTGCATGAAATTCAAAGACGCACGTCTTTAATACATATCACCACGTGCGTAACTGTTGGCCGTCGAACGTCTACCTCGGGGACATGGATGGGCCTTGGACATCAACTCTGAAGTTTACAATCCTCGTCTCAATGGAGCCACGAAGATCGCAGGCACTGTGAATGACTCTCGACAAGCACCAATCAGCTCCGTGTCGGCCTTCACACTGAATTCTGCAAAAAATGTTTCGGAAATGTGAAACTTAAATAATCTCTCAATAAGTTAGGCCCATACAGAAGCAACAATATGCAGACCCCATGCCTGTGTTTTCGAGCAGAATAAAAACTAAACTGAAGTAAAGAACACTGTCTTGGCTCTAGGTTCCCCTCTGCTAAACACATTTCTCTGTTTGTTCTATATCTGCTACTACTTTCGGTTCATCTATTATTTGCATATGCGTTTATAAATTTTTCCCGTGGTGGCTGCTTGTATCATAGGTTGTTTGATACAGTCTAAATCCAGATTATACACATATGTAAACTAGTATATAGTAAGTATTACTCCTACACATACACTATTACGAGTACAATCAGCTGATTCGAGCCACCCTGGTACTCCTTTTCAAAAAGAAAAAAAATCAGTGCAGAGTTCGTTTTCATTTCACCATAAACTTTTAATCTCTCTGAGGTTCGA